TGACCCCGTTCTAATATCTAACGCTTTTAATGATTATTTCGCTTCGGTAGGAACCAAGTTAGCAAGCAAAATGGACCTCGTCGAGCCAGTAATTAAAATAGAAGACGTAAGCTACTCTATGTATCTCTTTAATAGTACAATTTGTGAGATAATTGATGTGATAGAGCGTCTGAAGCCCAAGCATACTTGTGGCATCGATGAAATTAGTAACCTTTTTTTAGTTAAAAGCAGGTATGTGTTAGCACTTTATTTAACATACTTAACTTATCTCTCATTTTGCTCCGGTATGTTTCCTCAAAGCCTCAAGTTTGCTCGGGTTTTACCTCTTCATAAAGCTGATAGCAGAATAATTATGACAAATTACCGTCCAATATGACTTTTTAAGTGGCTGCAGCAAAGTTATTGAAAAAATCATGCGCTCGATTTTACAACTATCTTAAAAGTTTGAATTACTGTATCATCGTCAGTTTGGGTTCAGGGAGAAGTTTGCCACAGTTGATGCATTAGCTCAATTGACTGAAAGATTAAGACTAGGATTTGATAAAAACATTAAATGTAGCTTCTTCATTGATTTAAAAAAGGCATTTGATACGCTGGACCATAAAATTCTTTTGAGGAAATTAGAATGCTATGGAGTACGTGGAAATTGATAAAATGGTACGTGAAAAAGCTATCTATCCAATAGGTAGCATTGTGTACATATAAACAACTGTTCATCTGATTGTTTGCAAGTAAACACGGGAATACATCAAGGCTCTGTTTTAGGCCCTCTCTTGTTTCTGGTTTATATTAACGACATACAGCACACAGTTTACAATTCGAATGTGTTTCTATTTGCAGACGATACAAACATATCATGTCAAACATCTATCTATGAAGAATACCAGTTAGATTTGACCAAAATTTCTTCCTGGCTTTTTTCAAATAAATTAACCTTAAACTCAGATAAAACTACCTTAAATAATTTTACTAAGGATAGAAGTGCTTCCAGTCTTTCTATTGATATACTTGATTTTACTTTTCAGCCAAAACCTTTTTGCAAATACCTAGGTGTCATTGTAGATGATAAGCTTAAATTTTTTCACCATATACAGAATGTTCAATCAAAACTAGGTCGTCACTGTGGTGTAATATCAAAAATGAGACATTATGTACCAAGATCCATCCTACTGAAATACTATATGTCGAATATCAAGCCAATAATACAATATGGCTTGCTCGTCTACGGCAGCACGAGTTTTTCTTTTTTAAACCCAATTTTGAATATGCAACGAAAAATTGTTCGCATTATCTGCTTGATACCATTGCTAAAATATTTTCTAATAACAAAATACTAACAGTTCATGAGCTATGTGTACGATTTGATGAAGTGACCTTTTTTTAGTTAAAAGCAGGTATGTGTTAGCACTTTATTTAACATACTTAACTTATCTCTCATTTTGCTCCGGTATGTTTCCTCAAAGCCTCAAGTTTGCTCGGGTTTTACCTCTTCATAAAGCTGATAGCAGAATAATTATGACAAATTACCGTCCAATATGACTTTTTAAGTGGCTGCAGCAAAGTTATTGAAAAAATCATGCGCTCGATTTTACAACTATCTTAAAAGTTTGAATTACTGTATCATCGTCAGTTTGGGTTCAGGGAGAAGTTTGCCACAGTTGATGCATTAGCTCAATTGACTGAAAGATTAAGACTAGGTTTTGATAAAAACATTAAATGTAGCTTCTTCATTGATTTAAAAAAGGCATTTGATACGCTGGACCATAAAATTCTTTTAACGAAATTAGAATGCTATGGAGTACGTGGAAATTGCTAAAATTGGTTCGAAAGCTATCTATCCAATAGGTATCAATGTGTACATATAAACAACTGTTCATCTGATTGGTTGCAAGTAAACACGGGAATACCTCAAGGCTCTGTTTTAGGCACTCTCTTGTTTATATTAACGACATACAGCACACAGTTTGCAATTCAAATGTGTTTCTATTTGCAGATGATACAAACATATCATGTCAAACATCTATCTATGAAAAATACCAGTTAGATTTGACCAAAATTTCTTCCTGGCTTTGTTCAAATAAATTAACCTTAAACTCAGATAAAACTACTTTAATTAATTTTACTAAGGATAGAAGTGCTTCCAATCTTTCGATTGATATACTTGATTTTACTTTTCAGCCAAAACCTTTTTGCAAATACCTAGGTGTCATTGTAGATGATAAGCTTAAATTTTTTCACCATATACAGAATGTTCAATCAAAACTAGGTCGTCACTGTGGTGTAATATCAAAAATGAGACATTATGTACCAAGATCCATCCTACTGAAATACTATATGTCGAATATCAAGCCAATAATACAATATGGCTTGCTCGTCTACGGCAGCACGAGTTTTTCTTTTTTAAACCCAATTTTGAATATGCAACGAAAAATTGTTTGCATGATCTGCTTCGAAAGGAAATTGGATACCATTACTAAACTCTTTTCTGATAACAAAATACTAACTGTTCATGAGCTATATGTGTACGATTTGATGAAGTTTTGTTTACGATCACCAAATCAAAAACATCCAACTTGTTTTCTCAATTCTTTGTTTACTTTTAAAAATTTTGCCTACTATACGCAAATTTCAAAAGGTCGAACATTTGTTCCACCATTCTGTAAGAATAAGGTAAAATCATGTTCTTTGACTAATAGGGGTTCAAAGTTATTGAATATTATGAGTATAAATAATCTCTCACCTGAAAATATTGGATTGATGTCAAAAAATGAAGAATACAGTTTCGTCCATAAATTTAAAGATAATATCATTTGTGGCAATTACGAGTTGGTGCAAAACATATTTCTTTTATTTTTTAAAAATGGTACCCGCTGGCTAAACGCTATCAAACAACCATTCTACGGTTGCGATTCTATGCTGAAAATATGACCCTCCAAATCCTTGTAGTTTTCGAGATATCGCATTTTTTTCATATTATTTCTCATATTCTTAGTTCGTCAGCTGGAATGAGAATTGGCCGAAATGACAGGACTAGATGTACTAACTATTCCTTAATGAGGGCTTAATTTTAGGGGAAAATAAATTTTTCCCCACAATCCTATATTTATTCGAATATAAATTTATCTTTGTTACTTAGTTGCAATCATAATTTGTTCAACATATGACGTCAAGTAGGCACATACTGCTCCTGCTGTCTATCCCCTCCATTTTGTTGATTTAATAAATTAAATAAATTGATGCTTGTCTTATCAACTATATGGAGAAATAAATTCTTCTTCTTCTTCTAAAAGCATAATTTTCTCCAGTGGTAGTGGTATGCAATATACTGACTGAATTGCAATAGCCGTTTTGCTCAAACTTTTGTTCAATTCAGCTGAAAAAGTAACATTTTTGTCTGCTAACACTCCAATTTACCTGGCATGTTTTTTGCGGAAATTGTTTCTTCACTATAAAAAATTTTGTCCAAACTATTCTCACCCCTCCTCGAAAATAAATATGCTGTTTTCGCAACATTAAGACAGGTTTCTTTTTATTAAAACACTTTGGTACCTTTTCTACTATTTCCAGTATTGATACTCTTGGGTCCGTTTTCGAGTTTCTTCCTTTTTATCAGATACTTGTATTACCAACAAAATGCACAAATTCATGTTTCTGTTGATTTTGTTTGTAAAGTTATTTACATAAAAAATGAAAACCAATGGACCCAAGTTAATACCTTGTGGTACGTTATAATTGTGTAGTTTCCATTTCTTATCAGAATAGTGTCTTTAAAGTTGGACACATTGGACACGGTCCCTCAAAAAACCCACAAAAAAGTGCTTGTGCTTTTCTGGATTGATCCATTCATGTTCACACAGACTATTTCGGTAAAAGGTAATAATCTCATCTGTCGCAGATTGCTTTTTCTGAAATCCAAATTGGTAGACGTTTTATATAGATTTTTGTTTGAGATATTGTATAATTTGCTCAAAAGCAAGCGTTCAATAAGTTTTCATAGCGCGTTAGCCACACAAATTGACCTGTAGTTCGATGCAACCTGTGCGTTAACTTTTTTGAAGACAGGTGTTAAATATGCTTAAGGAATGATGGAAATTGGTTTTGTATTATACTTTTATTGCGAATTGAGGTGCGTTTCAATAGCAAGTTTGTCTTGTTAGAGGCAGATAGCTTGAATTTCATCAGTTCCTAGAGATTTATTTAATGGTAGCTTACCTTAATCTGTTTCTACCCAACTTAAGTCAAACACTGCCTCTGTTTTTTTCGTTTCGTAGTATACGTTCAACATTAAAAACACCTAATTTTTTGAAAAAAATGCCTGATTGAAGTGATTTGCTATTTCAGTAACATTCTTTACTTTGTTTTTTGCTATTTTCCAAATCTATTTCGCCAACATTAAATCACCTTTGATTGATCTTGTTCCGGCGTTTTCTAATTTGAAGGCGTTTTTTGTGCACTTAGATGCTGAGTATTCAGAACAGGCGCAGATCTAAGATTTTCTCGAAGGAGGTAGGTTTTTCGAAAAAGTTTCGAAATGTTTTTGCAATTTTCCTAGCGCGACCTATTGGTTATCCGAGCTCTCCCAATTGATTAGTAAGATGCTCTTTTGACCAACTTCATCCCCCTGATAAATCCTCTATCAATTAATGGAATCTACTCACGAAAGAAAAGGCAATTTGACGTTGAAAGCAAACTTTTGTGAATATTATTGACCATGCCAGGGTGTTTTTTTTTCGATTTGGTATGTTTCATCCGTGAAAAAAAAGTTAATGAAAGAAGTTTGTTTGTATTCAAATTCAGCTTCTGGGCAGTTATCTTTTTCAGTTTGTTTCTTATATGTTTTGTCAGAAATTCTTCGGATTTCATGTCGCATTTTTTTCACCTCTTCGATGAGCTATTTGTAAAATTAGATCTTTCACTGAGTCAGATAACAAACCAAACGCTCTGTTTCTCAGAGCAGAGCCATGTTTGAGACTAACGATAGCAATTTAATCAAATTTGCACTAGCTTAGATTGCGGTTATTGGTGGAGTACACCATAGTGCGGTTATTGGTTAACTCACTCTTGGTTAAGTTCAATAACTTTTGAGTTTATTTTAGTTTGCTTTAATCGCTAACTAAGGCATATTGTTTTAATTGGAGTAATTAGATTGTTGTTTTTACTTTTAATCATATTCTTGACTAGAGATTGGAAATGAATCCAAAATCAGTGCTGATCACGGGAGCTAATAGAGGCATCGGGTTGGAATTCGTGAAGCAGTTTCTGCCTCTGAAGCCAACGTATATATTTGCAACATGCAGGAATCCAGAGGCTGCTTCGGATCTCAAAGAACTGCAAAAATCCAATTCCAATATTCACATTATCAAACTAGAGATGAGTAACGAAGAGGATCACGTGGAGATGGCGAAAGTGGTGACGAAGGAGTTGAATGGACAAGGCCTGAACCTACTGATCAACAATGCTGGTGTACTGTCTGCGGTCCACAAATTGCAGGATGGTAAGCATACATGGCCCACAAAATAGTAAGCATCAGGGTATCTCAAGTTATAACAATAAATCATGCTCTATGGCTTTAATAATCATAAAGCATAACTTGCTACTTTTTTATACTATTCAAATGAAGACAGTATAATTTTGTTTTTACACTTAATCAAAAACAAGACTGTTTCCCGTAAATATCTGTTTTTTTTTATAAATGTGTAAGAGCCATTACGACTCTACTCTTGGTCCATGACTCTTCTGACATATCTTGATCATGTTTGCGTTCTAAACAACCATTGAATTTCCTTTCTTTTAAGTTGGCTGTGAGGCCAATTTTGGATGGTTTCATTGTTTTACTTTTTTCGCTAAAAATTTGTTTGTTTGTTTGGCCGGAACTACTCATTTTATATCGACTCTGTAGCATCATATTGCGTTTTTTGAAAGGCGAACGTAGATTTTATGCGTACCTGTGTGTGTGTGTGTGTGTATGCTTCACACATGCTTGAAAATTGTCATAATCTTCATTAAACAGGGTGACGTAAGATTCACAGTAGGTTTCGTTTTTCTAGCTCATTTTGTTTACGAAATTTTTTTCGCACTCACGGGCGTGAACTCAAGTAACTTTGGTTTGATTTGTTTGTTTGATTGGTTTCACTGCTGATAAACGCTGACAATTGTCTTTAATCTCATGTTTCGAGACAATTGAAGACAAACTTGTGAAATTTTTTTGTTGGATTAGCTTATACGACATTTTTAGCCTAGCATTTTTTTTCAGTTTTTGGCTTCGTTTGGCTTGATTGCCATATAATGTTTGTGATGTCTTTCAATCTTATTAGCGGCGTTTTTCAACCCATATTGTTAACACCGTTACAAGTATTCTTTTTAATAATTTCAATTAACAGAGACGACGATCGGTAAACATCAATGCGTTACACATTTAGTACGGGTTTTTTTTCGCGAATATTTTTTTCTAGGTGTTTTTATTCTTTTATTTTTTTTCTGGAAAGTCAGTCCGAGTAACATCTTAAATAGCAAAACAAAGGCGTGGTCTTCTTTGTTTTTTTTTTGGCCGGTTTATGCTATTTTTTGCATGTAGTTTTCAGGTTTTTGCATTTCAGGTTCGCCGAACAAATTTTATATATCTCATGGTCAATGCCGAGTTTAGTGAAGTTTTCGAATAGTTGAATTTCAGGTTGTCGGAAATACTGGTAAATATTGTTCTCGTTGCTTGAAGTTCAAACTGTCGATTGCTGTTCTCGTTGCTATTTTTTCAGTTGATGGCGACTCTTGAATTAACACTGTTGCTCAGATCCTTCTTGGTTCTTGAAACTAGTCGAACATCGTTGTTTTTCTGTAGGTACGTCGTAGTTATGTTCAGTTCTCGTTTCAATGAAGAAATAGTGTTCCTTGATTGCTGTCGCTCGATTCTTATTGGTTTGATAATTTGAGCAATTTCAATTTTTATTTGTTTTTGCGCTTTATTTTGCGCTTTTGGCCTGTGGAACCTGATCTAAACTACATATTATGATTGGATAAGTTAAATGTTTTACCAATGTAAAGTATTTAATATTAACCAATCATGATCCATCTAACTAACAACCCACTTATTTGTAAGTGCTGAAGTTACTTGTAATTTCAGCACCAGAGAGATTTGAATTTAACTTAGAAATTAGTTGGACTCTCCCGAGCACTTCAGCAGCCGCAATAAACCAGTATACCCTAGATCTATTGAGCCTAGCAGAGACTAGTTAAACAACCTGAGACTAGATAGTATAAGAGTAAGATTAGGATCGGTATTAGACTAAGAAGTTGCACGAATCTATCCGGCCGAAAATAAGATAGCGTGACGAGCAGACGGTGTACCCTATCCGAAATTACTCTATGAGTTACACTTCGGTCCTAACTCATCTGGTGCGACCATAAGTCTCGAACAAGACCTTAATAGATTAGAATTAACCAAAATAGATTAGAAATTAGACAAAAACATTTACAAAATGTTATATGACAATAATTTAATCGAAATGTCTCTACGACTCAATAGATCAGAGCCAATATTCCGAACCATAACAGAACTACCCGGAATTGGAAGAAGACCTCGAACCAAAGACGACATACGACAAAGTAGAAACTTGCCGTATAGTTATATGATAGTTCGGCAAAAGCCAGAACAAACTTTTATATTTCGAATACTACTTGCAATGAATTTAGATTTCCATTTGCAAACATAAAACCTTGAAGTTACTCTTCAAAATCATTTCAGGCGCTAAACAAAATTATTAATATACAATAACGATTGATAAAAAGATCTAAGATCGTTTTCCTAAAACTCTGCAGTAATATACAAAACATGTTTGAAAAATATTTATTGAAAAATAAAAAATAAAAATTAGTAGCATGACAATAAATGGTTAGTAATCATAAATCATCCTGTTGTTCCAGCTCCATCACCTAAAACATAACAGCAATCATAAACCCACTAATATCATCAAAACACTAAATCTTTCCTTTACACACATTTAAAATTTTATTAAAACTTAAATTCACTTAATTTTAAAACCAGATCATCAAGGCTTATCCTTGGATCTTAAATCATTTTCTACTTAATTAAATTTCAAATTTGATCATCAAGGCTTATCCTTGGATCAAACAGAACAACTTTGTTCTCCCCCACCCACTTAATTAGTGTCTAACGACCTCAAACGTCGATTCACTACCCAACCCTTTCTAAAGACCTAAGACTAATAGAAATTTTTAAACAAAACTAATCATTCAAATTAGGATAAACAGTGAAGAACTTCGGTTATTCATCCTTCACTTGACCCCCCCTCTTACCAGACCCAGGATAAATCTTAGACTTAGTAAGTTTAAAATAGTATCTAACGAACTACTCGCGTTCTAATTATACCTGAACCTTGTGGATCGATTTACTATTCTCCAACCCTTGAACACAATCACTACCCCTAAGTAAGATTAAGTAAGTTAACACCTTAACTTATACTAGCCACGAGAAAGTAAAAAATCATTCTTCGGAATCGATATACTTTTCTCTCCAACCCTGAACAAACAGACCCAGGTTAAGCTAACCAAAAAATCGTAAGAACTAACAGTTTAGGAAAATAGAAATCATTTAACAACCCTTTGCATCCGTCATTCTAAACCTTATGTCATTTAAAAACCTAGGAAATAAACAAACAATCGTTTTACACAATTGTGAAATAGATAACAAAAAATACGACCTTGTAATCACACCTCATACACAAACAGTTGGATACATTCGAACAAAACGACAAACACTAAAAAGAAAAATAATAACGAAACAAAGACAAATAACACGAAAAAGATTTTCAAAAAATCGAAACGCATTTTCAGAATCAGAAACCAATAGTTTAGACGAACTTTACAAACTAAAAGAATCAATAGATAAAAATTGCCCACTTCACGATCAATTATATTTTTCTGACTCAGAAACAACTTCAAATTCATCACAAAGAGGAAAAAGAAGAATAAAAAAACAGTACAAACACAAACCAGTACATCTATACAATTGGAATCAACCAATTCGACACATTAATAATTACATATTAACAGTCATCGAACGGAAAAATGAGTTCAACGCACACCCCAGGTGACGAAACTCCAGATGATGATGAAATCTTTCCTTTTATAGTAGATGCAGATACTGATAGAGGACAACACATATTTTGTCAAAATTTACTCGTAAATTTATTTGAACCCGGAATCAGTCCATGTAAAACAGAGTTCCCAGATGTAAAAATCAAAAGACAAATCATAGACCACTACTTAAAAGATATATGCAACATAACACAACAGTATGGAATCTACTCCATAGAATTCACCTCACCAAACCATAATAATAGAAAATATACAATTCAAACAGACGATCTTGATTTAGAATTTTCAAAAGTTTTTTCAGAATATATAAAAAGCATCCAATATCATAACTCACAAAGAGCAAACTCCATATTCACCAATGAAGTTTTCGCAATAATATATAGTTATATTTCAATATTAGAAAACGAAACCCCAATAACAAATGTCTCACCGACAGAAACATCTAAACATTTGAAAGTACGACATGAAATCACACTACTCTCTAGTTATTTAAACATCATTAAAGAAAATTTCACGAAAGACGACGTTTCACAACATACAAAACACGATCTACAAAAAATTTTGGCATGGTTCATAATAGATTATTTCACACACAATATTGATTTAATTGCACAAGCAAGAAAAAATTTTAGACCCCAAAATTCGAACGATGATACCGCTATCACAGAACAATCAGATTATGTTTGGGACCCCGAATGGTCTCATCCCGCATTTATAAGCTTTCCACAATCAATCTCAAGTCAAGCAATAGGTACAATATCTTACATAAGAGATTATGTAAGAGTAATACCATTAACAATTGATGCAACACCATTAAACTATAATACATTTTTACCTGATACACAAAATAATAGTTTAAACTCTACAGTTATACACAATGAAAACCTCAATGGAACTAGGAATCTTACTCAACAAGATATCCAGACACCATCACACTTCATAAATGAAGAAATTGTACACACAACAACTACACAACAAAGTATTTCACCAATACGCCCAAATTTAACAACACCAAGAAACACAAATCCTTCACAAACACAGGTAACCTTACAATCAACCGTTAAACCTTCGGTTGCCCCTAAATATTCACATATGGATTACCAAACATACAGACCCATGACAATACCATCAAAAACACGCAAAACATTCACTAGAAACAACTTTGCAGACCATAATTATAATTATACACATCCATCAAAAACATATAATCAACCACAAAGAAATTTTAACCAATATACAAGATCTCGAAATTGGGATAACCCAATGGCCCAACCTAATTCAACAAATTTCCAAACAAATCCTCCACGGGATCACAGTGAAAATTACCCATTTTTTCAACAAAATAAAAATAAAAAACAGACATCTTATCAAATGGATTATTTA